GCTGATCTTCTCCAGTTAATAATATGTTCTTAATGCCAGCACAGCCTCTCATGTGACTTTTACCACTGTAGATTTTGCTTGCAGAGAGTCTTTCATAGAAAGAAAAGGTGATGTCCCTTGGCAGCCATTGATTGGGTAGTGTGGGGGTTATTAGCACATGGTTGTCTTTTAAACCAGTGAATCCCACATATTAAAACTGAAGAGACATCTCTGAAAAAGGAATCGTTTACTTGTTGTTCTCAGGGCAATTTTATGTGCTGTCCAGGTTGTTGTCGTATCTGTGTAGTCCACCTGCTAACACACATAAATGAAGGAAGATGATTTGCTTCGAATCTCCCTGTTCCAGGCAGTTTGAAGAGGCAAGTGGGACAGCAGGAGCCTGACTGCCAAGGCTATTCCCCCCTCCCTTGTGAAAGCAGACTTTATCTGATACTAAACTGCTAACAGACTGGCTCTGTGAAGGCCCAGAAGTAATGCAGGCCTGGTGGCAGCTGTTGCAGTCACATACTGCTGGGATAGTGAAGCTCTGTCTCAGCCAGTGATCGATGGTTGCTGCTGATCAGCAATGATAAAACGGAGCAGGAAGACCACAGGCAGTCTGGTCCCTTTGCTGTGCGTGAGGAGGTGTTGCCTTTTATGCATTCAGTGATTTCCATGCTAGCTGTCTTGATTTTTGTTATATATCTGTATGAGATTATTATTAAGTGATGCATAGCATTCAGGATGTTATTAGCCTTCTTTTTAAAGCAGGCATTCTGTTGCCAGTTCAGCCATGCTGAAAAAACAAAATTATTCTGGACAGGCAGCACCTTACCGTGACAGCAAGATGGTGTGTCTACGTGTGCTGTGTCTCAGACCAGCTTCTCTGTGCTGGAGGACCTCGGGCAGAAGCGGGTGCCTCCTCCCAAAGGGGTGTTTTGTGGCCTTTGTGGATGTAAATCTCTCATGTGAATGAACACTGCTGTGGAGCTGCTCCGGGCTTTGTAAAGGCTTTAGGCTTCTGGGCAGCCTTATTGCTGAAGATTTCATTCTTTGACATTGCAACCGTGATTTGTATACGCTGAACTGTAGAGATACTGCAAGGGGAGGGAGAGATTGTGTATTTAGCTTTTGTGGAAGGATATGTTGCATGTTTGCTGCTGAAGTGTAGCCAAAGGCTCTGTTCCTGATTTTTCTCTATATTGGAATCCAGCAACATCAGATAAGACTGGAAGAGACTGTTTTGTGCAAGCCCTGCGTGAGCTCTGTGATGAAATATCTTACAATTAAAAATTTAATAATGTTCGTCAAGGTATTTTAGTCTAACAGCAGTGGCTAGAAAACAGGGAGTCTGAAATTAAACTACCTCGTAGCTTTTTCTGCTGTCCTCTCAAAAGCTAACCAGCTCATCCCTACTTTTGTGCTGCAAGGTAATTCTAAGCGGAAGAAATTATGTCCTGAGACAAGAAACAGTGGAAGCTGATAATATTCCCCCTTTGGTTTGAGAGGATGTCTAGTAACATGCTGCTTGCATCCCCTGCAAACCAGGTCTGGGCGGTATAAATAGATTATGTTTGGCAGTTGGTGGCACTAAGTGTGGGGGGTTTTACCAGTTAAAAAGGACAGCAATGTGCTGTGAAGTGTCAAATGGCATCGTGGGGCTATGTCATTATTGCCACTCAGTGACTCTGCATCCAGTGTGCTCAGATTGCAAGCAAAAAGGTGCTTTTTCTGGCTGCCAACTTTACTGACTCCATCTGGGATCTAAAATTCAAGCTGTGTCTTTCCTGGCTCCGTCGCTAATAATAAAGATTCTTCATTTGGAACTTAGTTAAACAAAACTGATGCTGATGCATGAGCTGAAAGAGAATTCAGCTTTCTTTCCTTGAGATGTGTGGGCTAAAGCACTAACAAGTAGGAACATAATAATTTTAATCTAGAAGGTTATCAGACAATTTAATAGACACCAGCTTTGTGGAGGAAAAAAAAAGGTATTTTAGCATAACAAGCATGTTGATCGTACAGCTTTTCAACAAATGCTCGAAAGCTGATTGAATTTGGTCAGCTAGGCTTCTGCTTCCAGACTAGCCAGTAATAGCTCATTACATGTTGTTAGGAAGCTTTTCTGCAAATCTGGGGAAATTACATTTGGTATAACATATGGTATAATCTTCAACTCTCCTTGGGAAGTGAAGTCTGACTACTCAGTCAATGAATTGCCATATTTTTATCAGCAAAATGGATGTGCAGCTGTGACATACGCTTTTGAGTGATGTAACCTTTAATGTCTTTGGCAAATACCCGCATTAGCAGTCTGTTCCTCTCCATTTACATCTCCTCCAGAAAGTCATTACCAGCTGAGATTATACTAACACTTTCTGTCGTGTAGGTGTTTCCTCCTCTGATGCTATTGAACTGTCAGGGAATAAAATGCCTAATGTTCTCATTTTCCTCCGAGGAGACAGAGAACAGAGCTTGTGCTGCTGCTTGTTGTACAGAGGGAGGTGGTGCGAAGTGTATGGCGCTGTGTGTTGTGAGTTGGAAGGACGTGCTGTGCAGGATTGTTTGCTCCACACCGCCTCCTGCGGCTCCATTTTACTAAAGTCGTGGGGGAGGAATATATTGGCTAAATTATTTTTTGTAGGCATAATATTACAGTGCTTTGAAAGGGTGGAGGCAAGCGGTGCTTCGCTTTAAACACGCACTGCGTATATTGGCAAAGGGTTCTGTTTTCAGCTTCTTGCTCCTTATTGTGCCCGTTGCCTCCGCTCGCTTGATTCTTGGAAATCAATGGAATCAGTCCCCAGGGGCTGCGTGGCATCGGCAGAGCTGGCCGCAGGGCTGCTTTCCTTTGCTTTTTTTTTATGAGATCAACAGAGAATCAGTTCTTGCAGGGCGCTCTGGGATCCCTGTCGTGCCAGCCCACTCCCACTTGCTGCTTTTTAGTATTTATTGAAGCCTCTCTTCCCTAGCTCCTGCCTCCAGCAGTCGGGCAAAAACATGCAGGGAAATGTGGGCGGCCTTTAGGGTGCATTCTTCTGTGGCCCAACACGACTTCCCTCATCGCTGTCTTGTTTTTTTTTTTTTTCTTGATCTCTTCCCTTTATTGACGCTCAGGAGTATCTTTTGGCAACTGCTGATGAGAAGGAGGTATCTCTAGTTCTAAAGATGGGCTTAGGCTGGAGGTCACACAGGCCCGGAGCCTGAATGGCATCTCACTGATGGGTTATGGTGGAAGCTGATAACCAAAACAGCAGTTAAAGCTTTGATGTTTATGACCCATGGTTATGACTTATGAAAAGTAGCATCTTAAGTAACGTTCTTCTCCTACAATGGGAAACGCCTTTTCCTAAAGTGTGAACTTAACGGCATCAATTCAGAGTTGCTAAAAACATTTCCTTGAAGAGAATCACTTGAATTGGATAGCTTGGAGTCCATCTCTGGTGAGTTGTGTTGCTGCCAGCCTACATTTGTTTCTTCTAACAGCATTATTACCTTACTTTTAAAGCCTGCAGTTATGGAACATAATGATAACCCTCTTACCTCCTGACACATTATGGCGTGAATACTTAACTCTGGGCATACACTGGCGCTTTACAATTTAATTCTTCCAAACAAGGAGTGAGCACGCTTCGGTTAGGAAAGAAATAGTTTAAACCTGTCACTAGGGAACCACAACAGTTACTGTAAAAAAAAAAAAGGGATATGGCCTGAATTCCCAGGGACAACTGGCTTTTAAAAACAGACACACAACCCCCCACCCCCCAAACCTGCTAAATTACCAGGCTGGATTTCCTCACTGGCAGGCTTCTGAGGGCTGCTTGCTTGGCTGTCTGCTCAAGGATTAGGAGAGAGCATCTCCCTTATCGTTTTGCACATGCTGTACCATCTGTCCTAAATCTCCCTTTATAGGGGTATGGATTCCAAATGACATTTCTTTCTTAGGAGATAAGACATGTCTGAAGATTCTTGCTAGGTATGGCTGTAGTGCTATTTATGTTGCAAGGGTTTGTTTTGTTTTTTTTTTCCCCTTGTTCTGCAGCCAGAGTGAACTTTGGTGAACCTTTCTGGTTTTCTACACCCAGACACTGAGAAAACATTTCATGCTGTAGTCCCTGGGAAATACAAAGTCCCCCTGTTCTATTGTGTGTTTGCTGCACAAAGCAGGTGAAGATGAAATATTACTAAATTCAGATGTTAAAAGGACACAAGAGATGACTTTAATCTTTTATTGTACATTATAAAATGTTTATTGCTCTGTCTGTATCAGAGGTGTTGACCTCTCCCTCTTGGTGATGGAGTATGTTTTGGCAAAGGATCCACTGAAGAGACCTTTGGGGTTGGCCTGCCTTCTGAAACCAGCACAAGGGAAGCCCTTGCTTGTTCACCTACACAGCTGCAAGCAGACTTCCTAGTGCCTTTCTCTCAAATCAACTATTTTAGAAAGGCTGGTGACAGTGGAAGAGGATTGATGGCTGAATTCTGTTACTACCAGCCCATTTCTTTGCAGGGACTCTTAAACCAGGCTCATCTGAGTGCAGGTTTGTTGTAATGAGATTCAAACCCTACTCAGGCCAACCTATTTGATGGAACAAGTAGGACCTTGCCTCATCCCCTAGTGTGCATATGGAGTGGTCTTGTGGAGTAAATAAATAAATACAGACACCCCACAGCACATGACAAAGAGTAAATCTTTTCCATGTGATGGACTTGCATCTACCAGCTTCCAGAGCACCAGCAATCCCGGGGATCCTGTCAGCTTACAAACAGCAAGCACTGAATAAGAGAGAGGAGAATGGCAGCCCCTTTCCCGTTCGTCATTAGCCTTGTCCTGAAGGGCTGCCTCCAGCAGATACCCGGCATTACAATGTCACAAAAATAGTGCAGACAGGACGTGTAAGGAGAACCAGACCTTCCCGCAGGAACCCTACTAGAAGAAGCAATTTAAGAACTTAAGCCCTCAGAAAAAGGTCCCTTAGGCAAGAGCCTTTCACAATAAATAGCTATTGCCACTGGAGACCTTGCATAGCAACCGGTATCGTGAGTTTTTTTTCTTTTTTTTTTTTTTTTTGCTGACTGGCTACATTTTTATGGACCTTTTTTATCACACTGGTGGTGGACTCAGGCCCAGCTGAAAATACCATGAAGAAAATGGTTGAATTTTATCCTGGAAGCTAAATAACAGCTTCTGGTGTCCCCTCATACTGGTCTGTGCCTCGGTGTTCGGCGTGCCCCGATTATCTGAGATGAAGAGCACCAGTGTGAGAGAGGAGAGACGGCAACAGTGGAGACGTGTGCTGCAGCCTAACTGGAGAACAACCAGGGAGGTTCTCACAGTGGGAATGGAAACTGGGGTATGCCTTTTTTTCTTTTTTTTTTTTTTTTTTTTAAAAACCCAACACACATCAATGGAACAAAGCAAGCTGGGAGCACACAGCAACCAAAATCCGGTTGCTAGTTGCGTCTGTGATGAGCTTTCCTCCTTTCTTGCTTGGAGAGGAGTGACGGTGACTGATGCCTGAGCTCAGGTTAATACTGTCAGGATGTAGTGACAGTGAGACAAAACAAAGATACAACGAAACCTTGTACATTTCCAAAGACAGGAAAATTGTTCCAGAAGACTGAACGTGAGGGTGGAGAGGAGTGAGTGAGAAGTTGCTCCAGCCCAGGTGATTCACGAGTCCAGTACAGGATCACCGGCAGCAGCTGTCTCACTGATGCTTTTCCATCCTAATTGTTTGTTTGGGTTTCAGGGTTGGTTTTTTTTGCAGGATTTCTCTTTCTGGCCAGATGTTTTGCAGAACACAGACAAGGAGGTGTGTGCCAACAAGTGACAATCACTAGGTCTCTTTCTAAATTGCTCCAACAATATTTCACCTCCCTAGTCATCAAGGCTCAGAGGCAGAAAGTGAGAGTGAGGAATGGAGTCCATCTATCAGCTGGCAGGCTGTCACGCTTCAATGATATTCACTGAGGGCTTGTTTTTTGGAAACTAGAAGAGAAGAGGAGACAAAGGGAGAAAGGAATTGCTAGAGAGGGGAAAAAAACCAACATCAGAGATGGGTGCAGTGTGCTGCTCAGTTTTTAGTTTTCTGAAAACTCTTCTTCCCATCCCCTCAGGATAATGACAAAGTTGAGGCTTTAGGGTTGCATGGTTCATTGCTGTCTGCTTCTGGATGAGTGTGAATTAGTGGGCTGTTTCAAATAATAAGTAAATGTGAAGTGGTTGGGGGTGTGCCAGAGTACAAGTTGGGAATAGAAACACAAGAAAGTTAAATTAGTTGAAATAATTTGGTATAAATTGCAGGCTTGAGTCCGCTGGCATTACAGATACGGCAGCCCTTTCACATCACGTGTATTACCAGCCACGCTCCTGCTGATCAGTTAATTCAGTTAATTGCAAGAGTAATATCCCCTTTACCACATGCACCTAAGGGCTGCTGCGGGGGCAAGGACCCAAGCAGCTCAGGGCCTGCAGCGTCGCTCAGTGCATTTTTCTTCCAGAGATATTCAGATATTTCAGAAATACGAATTGAAATGTGTTTTACTGATGGACATGCAGGCTGATCCGGAGGTGGGAGCGAAGTGCTGGTGTCCTGATGTGTCTGGCCGGCTCAGACCACTAACGAAGCCGTGGTACTGGCGTGCGTGGATGTGAAGGGGTGTTTCCTTTCTGCATCCCGACTGGAGGGATGCAGAAACAGAGGCTGCTTTTTGGGTAATTTAGCTGAGGCCCTGCTGGAAGCTGATTGTTTGCCCTGTGTCCCCCCTACACTGCGTGCCAGCAGCTCTCACCTTGCTGCGGAGGAGCCCTCCGCTCTGGTGCTCAGGAGTGCTGTTCTCCGAAGCGCTCTTGACTTTCTCCTTGCTGTTATTTGGCTCGTTGTCTTTGATGATATCGTATTGTCTGCAAAACAGGGCGATCACCCCTAACAGGAAAAAGCATTAGTGATCACACAAATGAGCTCGGCCCCTGGAGTCTGCAGGGATCAAGAGATCCTTTGCTTGCCAACTGGCTTTGTACCTTCTGGCAGAGATCTCAGCAGCATTCACAATTGCTCCTAAGGATCATTTTCTAACATGGCTAGTCAGCCCTCTGGCTGTTTTCTTCTCAGTGCCTAGTTCCATGCTAAACTAGTTAGAAGGATAGAAGATTAATTATATTCCAGCTTCCCTGTCATTAAATGGGACAAAGCGTTGTAAGCCTCACGTTTGGATAGCAATCAACACTAACTGTGGGGTTAAACGGGATCTTTGCTTTGCAAACACGTGAGCTCCTGGAATTTCTGTTTTTGTGAAAACGTGTCCTCTAATCTTTCTCCTCTGGGGTGAAGAGAAGGAGTTGGAGCTGGCAGATGAGAGGCAGGTACTGTACCTGCCTGCATGTGATACAAGCCAGGGCCTTTTGAGCAGCAGGACAACATCTGCAAATATGCAACAGTGACGACAGCAAAGCTGCCAGTGGAAATTTCCTCCCACACAGGCAGGCACATGAAGAGAAAAGCAGGGACAGCCATGATACGTAAGAAGACTGCAAATGTCCTTCTTGGAAGCTTTTATATGACATTTTGACCAAATAACTTCTCTGCCTGCAGATTCCAAACACAGAGGCTAAGACAACCCAGGCAGATGCTGCTTCTCCCTTACTGAAAAAATATTCCAGCTCTCCTAATAGCAAAACACATGTAAAGCTTTCACCAGATCGTCACAAACTGCTTTACAGAGTGAGATGTTGTTATGGCAGCTGCCCCCAGGTGTGTATACACAGTGGTCCAAATTCTTCCTTGCGTATGTGAACAAATGGCTGATCCTAGGAGAATAGGTTAACATCTGCCACAGTCACACCTCCTGTGAGTTCTGATGGTAAAACTGAGGCACGAAGAAGCAAAGTGCTTTGAACAGTACCAGAAATAGAGACAGCACAAGAGCTTGACTCTTGTCTCAGCTCAGGGCCCTGGGCACAGACAGGTTCCAGTCTGCAGTAGAGAGATTTTTTTTCCCCCCCCCCCCAC